CCCCCCAACCAAAAAAAACATCCTGACTTTGCAAGTTTTAATGCGGAATCCAACAGATCTGAGCGAGCGTGGTCGGATGCTGCAATCAGAAAGGAAAAAAAAAACAATTCTGGGCATTTTTTAGGGGCATCCGGTTTTCCCGGTTCACCCCCCCTGGACTGGTCCGGGCCCGGCCGGTTGCGGCCCAGCCTTGATTACAACAGTTATACACACTCCTCTTCCCATTAGGGCTGGAAGAGCCTCAGCCGCTGCTCCCCTGGAGACAGCTTCCCTGTATAACACGAATATAGCATGAGCACTGGGCATTGATTGCGTCCCCAGTGAGGAAGGATTAAGTTAAACCCCGTTGTGTGCAGAATCAAGCTCTGCCCTACACTGCTCAATTACCCCTACTTTAATCTTCTGCACAGTGAGGAGTGGGGGAGATACCATTAGGGCAAAGAGAATGCAGGCAGGTACTTACCGAGGTGATATGAGCATCCTGGGGAAGTGAGCCTGCTGAGAACGCTCCATCTATTGGTGGGGAGCAACACCTGCTGAAACCAGGTCCAGCGTCCCTGATACATCATTTTATTATTATTATATTTTTTTTTTTATAGAAGAAATGCTCCAATCTATTAGTGGGGAGCAGCACGTGCTGGAAACCGGGTCCAGCGTCCCATAAGGACATTTACAGCTTCAACAAGGATCTTTTTTTAGAAAAGTTGAGAGGACCTCCCCCTGCCAGCATTGATTACCCTGGAATCCAGGGGATTAACTGAGCAGGGAAAGTCCTTGATGGTAATGAAAATGGAAAGGACTATGCTATGTCAGCAGATCTGCCTATGCTAACTCAACTCAACACACCAGACCCCTCTTCAACCCCCTTACCTTACTCCGACAAGACTTATTACAGTAGAGCCACCATCTCTACCGGGGCTATGCCCTAGCTCAATCCTGCCGACTAGCCCCTTCATCAGCAGAACGCGTGATATCCCACCATCTCTGTATCCCTCTCAACCACTTGGCGCTCACCCCCGTCTGTGCGACCCCTACACAACAGAGTAATCTGGGCTCCAAATGTGTTCTCGTCCAACCAGCATAGCTCCAACCTCTGGAAGATGCACAGTCCAAGCTAACCAGTCAAATTTAGAAAAACATGTAACCCCTGAAACAGACAAGCAGAACAATCCTGCCTCCATCATCGAAAGGAAGAACCTCAAGCTGATCCAGGTGGAGTTAGTCGCCAGTGGCCGGTACCCGTCGAGATGCTCAGCGCCAATCGCATCCATCATCAACTTCCTCCATCCAAATCTCATCCGTCCTGAGGCTCCCAAACTCCGTCCTCGTCAAGAACTCGTAGAGAACTCCAGAGGACCTCATCTCAGCAGGGGCCGAGCACCATCATCACCCTGAATTTCCTTGTCCCTACAAGAATTCCAGTCTCCGTCCTCAAGGAGGTGAATCAGCACTAACCAATGCCAATCACACCAGAGTTTACCCTCATCAGCCGATACCCATCACAGCCTAAACTACCGAACACCAATATATACATAGGAAATTGTCAACAGAATGGGGGTCACCGAACCGCCTCTTCAGCCTCGTGTGAACGTGAGGCTGCCACACTGTCGCCGTTCAGTACACGCTTCCGCTTGCAAGAGGAGTGCAAGGCGACAGATTCGCTCACTCACTTGACGTATGGATGAAGAAGATTATTTGTATTATTGCATTGTAGTGATAATTTTGTCTGCGTCCTTGTCCCGGCTCTCACTCTTGCAACTCTGGTTTGTGTTCTGGGCAAAGGAGGTAGGACCTGAGTTAGAGTTGTACGTAATCGAGGTTTGCTAGATAGAGTTTTAACGTGGGCAACTGCCCGTGTTTGAACCTTACGTCGATGTGCCATAGCACCACTCTCGAGTTCCCAGTAGCAAACGAAGACAGAGTCTACTGCGACGCGGATGTCTGGAGGTCTTTGTTGCATCATGATCGGGTTCAGTTTTACAACCCGTCGATGGCGGGGAAGGGCATGTTTTGCTCGACTATTTTCATGCTCCCCAGCCGATTATCCCTTATACTGATCTCACGGTGCTTCCCTGGTTGACTACACACACCACGTGCGAACCCCTGTTTCACTGTCGCTGGTGCAAGCTCCGGAATTCGTGCTCATGGTGGCAATTGGTCCTAGGGTACCAGGGAGCGGTTAGGTTCTCGGAACACACCCACTACACGGGCGCCCTTCCGGCGCACTTCCGAGACCTGGTACCTCCACGCCCTTCACTATCCGATAGTGAAGAGACTGACGGATCCGACAACTGAGATTAAGTTCGACTTCTCAACGACTATGTGCCGCGACGCTTTCCCACTCCTCGGCCCCTATGAAAGGAAATCTTTTTTTGATGCGGTATGGCTTTAGGCCTTTTTGCTGATATTTCTCCTATTTTGGTGACGCGAGTTTTT